ACTCGAAGTGGATATCTGCGCTCAAGACATCATCAACAGAAAGGCAATAGAGGAGCGATCGCTTCACCATGCTTTCGTTGAGCGGGAGCATCCTCTTCCGCCTGGTCTCAAACTCGTACACAGCATGGCCGGTCTCTGGAAAGATGAAACTGAGCGCAGGAGAAGGCGATTGCGGGATTTGGCTCCTGGGACCATTCCCTTTCCTCCTGAGGTTTTGGTATCCATGTCTGCGGATCCTCGCCACAGCCAGCCCGCGAGCTGGATCCATGAGGAAGAATACCGGAAGCAAATCCAAGTCTTGCTCGAGGAAGAGGACACTTCCATGAACCATGCAGAAGTCTCGTTCTCAAACTTCGTTCGGCCTATTCCCCTGGAAGAGACCGTCAAGACCGCGCTGCAGTCTGTGGAAGATTTGTATCCAGAGAACTTGTTGCCGGCCCTGGGATTGGAGAGCCAGCTTCTAGAAATGAACACCATCTCGGCAGACGCGGTCGATGTTAATGAGGAAGCACTGCTTGACCTGGAAACTGGTGAAAATGGTGAATGTCTGCTTACGGATGACGTTGACGAAGATGCGACATCCCCTGAGCCAGTTGCTGAACAGGCTGTTGAAGGGAATGCGGATGGTGGAAAACCTGCAAAAGATGCGAGCAGTGCCCTCGACAGACTTGACATTTCAAAACAAACACTGCTACAACGCGTCCAGAATGGTATGAGCGAACGCTCTTCCGGGCCAGGATGCAACGAACTCCCTGCCCAGGCGGAAAAGGACTTTGGGTATGGAGTGACTGCCAGCGCTCTTCGCTCCCGCAGTCGTCCAGAAATGCCCTTGTACAGTGCCTTGGTCATTGATGCGGTCCAGAGGGATTTGATTGGGCAAAATGCATCGCCTTTGCATTCCCAAAAAGAATTGGACCCTCCGTTGAAGCGCCTTCCTTCCACTGCAGTGGACACCATGTCAACGAAGCGAATAAAAGGCAATGTCTCTGCAAAGAACTTGTCTCCTCCAGGGACTCAGCCCTCGCGAAATTTAAAGACAGATTCAAAGCCTAGTTCAAAGCCAAAGATCAGGATCTCTTCGGCAAGACAGTCAGGGACGCTCAAGTTTCCTGTTGTCAAGGATCCGCAAAATGTCAACACAAAAATGAGGCTTAGCCAGCAATCTTGTTCCCAGGGCTCACAGCCAGCAGGCACCGATCCTAAGGTGAAGCATGTGTCGTTTGATGCGCAAATATCGACTCCCGAGACCCCAACCCTACCCAGCAGTGATCCTACTCCTGTCGCCCTTCTCCCTAAAAGAGCACCGTCGAACTATGTTCAGCAAGACACAGCATTCTCTCGCAGGCTCTTGTGGCAGGGCTCATCTACAATGTTCACCATCGCCCGCCTGCCGCCGAGTTCTGCCCGGGTACGCTCGTCAATGAAGAGATACAAACTGCCCGAAGTCATCTACCAGGATGCCTTTTACAGCGAGGACAAGGATGTTCCTCCGCGGCCGAGGGAGTATGCGGGAAGAGAGTTCCGGATCGATGGCAACTCGCTTCCGTATCTCCCGGATTTCGATGCTACCGGGACATCTGCGGCAACATATGGCATCAAACCAGATCTTGGACCAGATTTCTCAAACATCGAGACCACATACAAGCACCAGCAGGACAAGTGCACTCTGAAGAGCTGGGAAATTGCCGAACCGCCTCCATCGTTGAGCGAAGTGACAAAGTGGTGGACCGAAAAGAAGGCGAAGAAGCAGGCTCGGCATCAACATGCTGGATCGACAAAAGCTCTCACCACACCAACCCAGACGGCGAGGGCAGACATGTCTCAGATCGCAGGGCCAACTCCCAGGAACAAGCATGGCTTCAAGTATTCCCAGAAGCGGAAGTCGACAAGTGTCCAGCATGAAGCGCAGTACATGAGTACGATGAGTCTCGAGGTACATGTCAACACCCGCGGCAAGCTGGTACCGAACCCAGAGGAGGACGAGGTGCAGTGCATTTTCTGGTGCTTTTCCCCGGATGAAAATGCCCTTCGTGGGAGTCAATCACCCGACTGTACTGAATCTGGAATGGTTGTTCTCTCAGAGGGTCAGACCATGCGTGGCAAGATACGGTACCGGTCAGGCGTGGATATTGCCGAGGAGTCGTCGGAGCTCGATCTATTTGTCCGGATGGTCGAGATTGTGAGGACCCGCGATCCGGATATAATGACTGGATACGAAGTCCACGGGGGCTCATGGGGCTATTTGATTGAGCGGGCGAGGTTCAAGTACGACTTTGATCTGTGCGATGAGTTTTCACGTATGAAGTCCCAGTCAAACGGGAGAATTGGGAGAGATGCCGATAAATGGGGCTTCAACACGACGTCTACCATTCGTGTCACGGGAAGGCATATGATCAATATCTGGAGGGCCATGCGCGGGGAGCTGAACCTCCTTCAGTACTCGATGGAAAATGTCGTCTGGCATCTGCTGCACCGGCGAATACCGCACTACTCGTGGCGCACTCTAACCGACTGGTACCAGAGCGGGCGGCCGAAAGACCTGGATAACGTCCTGCGGTATTACTTGACCCGCACCCGGATGGACCTTGAAATCCTGGAGAAGAATGAGCTCATCCCTCGAACAAGCGAGCAAGCGAGAGTGCTCGGCGTTGACTTTTTCTCCATCTTTTCTCGTGGCTCGCAGTTCAAGGTCGAATCGATCATGTTTAGGATCGCAAAACCCGAGAACTTCATGCTCGTCTCGCCAAGCAGAAAACAAGTAGGCGGGCAAAACGCGCTCGAGTGTCTCCCCCTCGTGATGGAACCGCAGAGTGCATTCTACAACAGCCCGCTGCTGGTTCTGGACTTTCAGAGTCTTTACCCAAGCGTGATGATCGCCTACAACTATTGCTACTCTACCTTTCTCGGCCGCATCGTCAACTGGCGCGGGACGAACAAGATGGGATTCACAGAGTATAAAAGACGAGAAGGTCTACTCCGCCTTCTCAAAGACTACATCAACATTGCGCCCAACGGGGTCATGTACTCCAAGGCGTCTGTCCGCAAATCTCTGCTGGCCAAAATGCTCACTGAAATCCTCGAGGCGCGCGTCATGGTAAAAAGCGGCATGAAGCAGGACAAGGACGACAAGACCCTGCAACAACTCCTCCACAACCGACAGCTTGCTCTGAAACTCCTCGCCAACGTCACGTACGGCTACACTTCAGCCTCCTTCTCGGGAAGGATGCCCTGCTCCGAGATAGCAGACAGCATCGTCCAAACGGGGCGTGAAACCCTCGAGCGTGCAATCGCCTACATACACTCAGTTAAACGGTGGGACGCCGAGGTAGTCTACGGCGACACAGACAGTCTCTTCATCTACCTCAAGGGACGAACCAGGCAGCAGGCATTTGACATTGGCGCAGAAATGGCCAAAGCCATCACAAACCTCAACCCTCGACCTATCAAGCTCAAGTTTGAAAAAGTCTACCACCCCTGCGTGTTGCTCGCCAAAAAGCGCTACGTGGGATACAAATACGAGAGCAAAGACCAAACCGTCCCCGAGTTCGACGCCAAGGGGATAGAGACGGTCCGTCGAGACGGCACGCCCGCCGAACAAAAAGTCGAGGAGAAGGCCCTCCGTATCCTGTTTGAAACGGCCGATCTCAGCCAGGTAAAGGCTTATTTCCAACAACAATGCAGCAAGATCATGAAAGGACATGTCTCTGTCCAGGATTTTTGTTTCGCAAGGGAAGTCAAGCTGGGGACGTATAGCGAGAAGGGACCGTTACCTCCGGGCGCGCAGATCAGCGCCAAGAGGATGCAGGACGATGCCAGGGCGGAACCGCAGCATGGGGAGAGGGTTCCGTATGTGGTGGCGGCTGGTGCTCCCGGGGCCACGCTCGTGGATCGCTGTATCCCGCCTGAGGAGCTGCTTAATGATCCTTCTGCAACGTTGGATGCGGAATATTATATCACCAAGAACTTGATTCCGCCGCTGGAGAGGATATTTAATCTGGTGGGGGCGAATGTTAGGGCTTGGTATGATGAGATGCCCAAGATTCAGATGGTTAGGCAGGTGGAGAATACGGTGCTTCCTTTGGGGGGTTTTGCGGATCTTGACACCACGGGGGCAGGAGGAGCCGAGGATGAGGTGGTTGCGGCGGCAGGTGCTGTTGTGGCCGGCGGGGGCAAGAAAACTCTGGAGGGATTCTTGCGCTCGTCATCGTGTGCTGTGTGTGGGGTCAAGATCAAGACGGGCAGTTCTAGATTCGGCACCACCACCTCGGACGATACAGGGCTGGCTATGCCTTTGTGTAGGGCCTGTGCGGCTGACGCTTCGCAGTCGATGATTCAGCTCCGGACCAAGCTGAATGCCCAGGAACGAGGGCTCGCGGATATCATGAAGGTGTGTCAGAGCTGCGCGGTCTTGTCGCCGCTCGATGAGGTCGCGTGTGATAGCAAGGATTGTCCGGTATTTTATACACGGGTCAAGCAAGGGGCTAAGTTGGCTGCCGATAAGGCTTTGTTGGAGCCGTTGGTTGAGATGTTGGGGGAGTTGGATATGGCTCGGCGTGAGAAGGAAGAACGGGAATACCACGCCCAAGTGGAATCCCGGTTTGGGCAGGAGCAAGGGGCAACCGGGGAGGAGGGGCTGAATTGGTGATATTAGAGGGTTTGGTCATTATATTTATATTGGAAGAGGTGGGTTTGCTTTGGCGGTCATTGCATTGCATCGGGATTATGGGACTTTTTGCTCTTGACAGAATACGCATGTAAATAATGAGTTCAATGATATATGACATGGATAGCAGCATTTGTTTGAGTTGGTGGAACAGCTTTGTAGAACGACTTACAGGATATTGGCTTTGTTTTGCCTACACCTTCTACCTTGCTTGTTCAAAATGTCAGGAGCTATTTATCGTGATGTTCTTCCGCATGGAGTGTCAATGTATCCCATCCGTATTGCAGCAAAATAAATAAATAAAACAAACCTCTTGCTTAAAGGGGGCGGTTCTCTACTCCCCCGCCGGGAATTGAACCCGGGTCTCGAGCGAAGTTATTTACGCTTTATACCGCCGGGTACAAAGCGAAAGTGACAAGCTCACATACTGACCACTATACTACGGAAGATCTTTTGCGGCGAGTGTGGACATCCGCGGTAGCTGCGTTCGTTCGTCGGTTGAGACTGAACTCTGTTCACCACAGCTATAAACCTCCGTGAGATTGTGTTTCGTTTTCTGCTGCGCTGTTTGGACGTAGGTGTTCACTCATATACAGGGCGGATAATCCCTTAGTTCTCACTTGTCAATCAATAGTCTCATCAAACTCCAACGTCCAAATGAAACGGTTTCTCCACGTCGATGAGATTGCGGCATCTGGCAACATATTAGGGCACACGCCTCGTGATACCCGATCGTGCCTTTTCTTCCGCGTGGATCGGAGCTCGGTAGCTTGACAGAACGTGACATGAACCTAGGTCCCGGTCTTGCCATTCGGACCGGGAAGAGGCCGCAAAGTTCATCAGTTTACCTAGGTTACTTCTCTGCCGAGAGGTGGAAAACTTGAAGCATATTCTTTGGATTTAAGCTTCCGGTGTCTTCCTGGACTCGTATATGGCTGGCTGGTCACAGACTTTCTTTGATGGAGTAACAGCTGTGCTGAGACATATATCAGCGTTCTGTTATTACTGTGAAGAGTATATGTTTTGGCTCCCTGTTATCCTTGTTTTGATTGTTGTTGCTGTGAATCCAATAATGAGTCACGTCTTGTCTCTTTCTGTCATGATTCCCTGGTCAAAGACATGGTGGTTTGTTGACTAGCAGGTTACATTATGATATGTGAACCACTTGAAACAAGGACGAGGAACCTCATCTCCATTTTAAACACGCAACCGCCGGTAGTTCGTAGCACAAGTATACGCTCCAGCGTTGTACATGTACATGATACGAGTTGAAACTTGAAAAGGTAAACATTCCCTTATCATTTCGATGCTAAAACGAGATCATGGCGTCTTCCACTGTCGAGTGTCCCGATACACAGACTTGGTACAAAACAGGGAGGGATTACTGTATTCCGTACTTTCTCCGGAGGTCTTCGCCTCACCTAGGATCGTAAGTAATTCATTTCCAAGCTTGAAAAGTCAATGCCGTTAAGACTGCGGGATATAATTAGCTATATGGGTATCTGCTGTTCCTTGGTGGATTCCTGGAAACGAGAAAGAAGAAATAACGGACCCAAGTGGACGCAAGAGTCGCCCTCGTTGACACACGTCAGGGGTTACACATGTCATTCTTCCTTGCAGCCCCATAGACTTCATTTCATGCAGCTGTTAACGATGCACACTGCACCCTGTCGCTACCGTCCAGATCCATTCAGGCGGTGATTCCTGACGCCTTTCCCGATCCAGTAGGTGGAGCACATATCGCGGTCTCCAGCAAACATGTTTTGTTTTGGCCTCAGGCAAGAAGACATGCGTCGAAATCAGGACGCGGGAACTTGTCCAATTCTCCCCATCCACACAAATCAGTCCTGGCCCTTCAATCCCATTGAGTCGAGACATCCAGCAGTTTCCTGATCTCCGCGCTGCTGGAGGTCGACTTTTTCCCCCTTCCCTCTTGTTACGGTCTACTATTCGAACCTACGGCGAGAACAGCAGCGAGAAAACAAACAAGACCAATCCATTTGCGAACCCGACTCTCTTTTTATTTTATTTTTTCTTCGTTCTGGTACTTTGGCGGCAAAGCAGTGTGCGGCGACGTGTGATTTGCTGAACTTGCCCAACCAACAAACGAGCCGTGGCGGCGCGTCCCGAATCAATTGCAACTTCCTTGCAACCCCCGCCCGTTTTGGTCAGCATTTTCAAGTCAACAGAGACGGCCTCCCTGTCGTCGCGTAAAGCCTCGCAGTCAACAACAACTTAACACGCCCCCGACTGGCAGGCATTATCTCGGCCGTTTGCCCTCCTCTTTGCTGTCTACTTCCTTGCCTTTATCATTATAATTTTTTAGTCTCTGTTCTTTTCGTTTCTCCAGGATCCGCCGTTCATTTCAAATCTTAACAACAAATCGCCTTTTTCCTTTTTTTTTTTGTTACATCATATTTTCTGACCTGTATTAACCCCTTTCCCCTTTCGCCTGGCAGCCGGGCCTGCCTGTCATCTCCGCTCCTTCCTGGTCTGGGTTGAACAAGGCACAAGGCGGGGAAAGGGTGCTTAGATTGTCGCACTTTGACAATCTCAATCAACACCCGCAGCTGGTGCGGACGGGAGGCGCACAACAACCTGTAGTGAATGCCGCTTGCTACTTTCAATATGGCCACGTCAGTTGCGTCTGACCAGCCCATCGCGGCTTCCGATGACCCCTTCGTCGCCAACCCCTTGAGCTCTCCGCATCTGCGACACTCAAACTTCGACAGCCAGTTTCTCGCCCTGAATCCCGCCGCCTCTGCTGGCCAAGTCAAACGCGCCATCGAGGCCCATCTGAGAGACACCCAGCGGCGCATGGAGGAAGCCGGAAAGCTAGGCACTGCCCTAGTCCAGCAGCAGAAAGAACTCCAGGAGAAGCTACGAGAGGTGGAACAGCTCCAAGCAGAGGCCGATCTCAACCCGGAGCTCCGACAACGCCTTGCCGAGATCGAGAAGGACTACAACGAGGTCGCAAGAGAGAGTGCCCGCGCCTTTCTCCCCAAGCAGAGGATACCAAGCAATGAGGCCGCTCAAGGATCTCCATTTGCGCCCGAGGGCAAAGGCGGGAGGGTAATGCCTTGGCCGATTTTAGACCATACCAATGGATAATGCTAACATTTTGCAGCGCTCCGTGAGTCCGTCAAAGTTTGAGAGCCTTGCTACAGGCTCGCCGACAAAACTAAATGTTCCCAACCGCAAACTTCGTAATCAACCAGCCAATCGAATCCACGATATCGAGTTCGCCGCCGAAATCAGCCAGTCTCTCATTGCTCAAGTACGCAACCTGCAGGCCCTCTTGGCCGAGCGGGACGAGGAGTTGAGGGATATCAAAGTGGACAGGGCCAGACTCGAACTCGAGGCCGAAGGGTTTCAGCAGCGTATGAAGACACTTGACGAGAGTGAGAGCCGATACAAAGATGAGAACTGGAATCTTGAGACCCAAATCCACGAGCTGCTCGCTGCTCAGAAGGAAGCCGCCGACCGAGAGAAAAAGCTCACACAGACTCTGGCTGTGCTGCAGTCCGAGAAAAACACCACGCAACGGGAACTGGAGGAAGTCAAGGACAACCTAACGAAGCAGGACGAGAAACATGCCGCTACTATCAAGAATCTCGAAATCGAGCTCGGCACGATTCGACGAAACGCTGCCATCTCCGAAACCGAACGGTCCACCATGCAGAAGAAGGTTGAAGAGCTGACGAGCCAGAACCAGGAGTTGGCCAAGGCATTCTCCATCCAGCGCGGAAGGGCCTTGGAGCGCGAGTCCAGCTTGGGAACAAGTGACGAGGATCTCCAGGCCGCCCATGACAATGGCACCCCCGAACACTCTCCACCGCCGTCGCCTATCAAGGGCACCCCGAGACACTCCATGCTAGAGTCCGAGACGCTAAAAACATCCTTGGGACACGCTCAACGGACGATCCAGACGCTTAGGACTAATATCCATCGCGAAAAGACCGAGAAGCTCGAGCTGCGCCGCATGCTTCAAGATTTGCGCGACGAGCTCGAAAAGGCAAGATCTGACATGAACGGCCCCGGCAATAGGAGAAGCCGGAAGGTCGACTCGAGAGAGTTCAAGAAGCCAATGCGACTGAATCAACTCGGAGGACCACGCACAAGCAAGACGGAACTCGTGCAATCCGTGGAGGACGACCCGGAGTGGGAGGATCACGAAGACGTCTCGGCACGCCGCTCCCTTACCTTCTCACCGCCGAACCTGCGCCCTGTTTCCAGCTTTGCACCCATTGTCGAGTCGAGCAGCGATCATTTCGACACTGCCAACGAAACAAGCGATGCCTTCGAGACTGCGCGCGAGCAACTCGGAGCGACCGAGACGGAGGACTTCCAGACTGGTGCCGAGGAGCTGTCAGATGACGATACCGCGACAGAGACCGAGGCAAGCCCATCTAAGGGAGCTGGCCGTATGAAGCGCCCTCCCGTCTTGCCCATGTACCAAGCCAACAGCCGGTACTCGTTCGAGAGCACTGCCTCCACCTCGGCAGACGAGGATGATTACATTCTCAACACACCGACTAGCCAATCCCAGAAAATGCGCCTGCGCTCAAGTCGTAGCACCTTGACACACCGACCTCGCCACGTGAGCGAGGAACCTCAACCCCAACTCCGCAGCAGCCCCATGAGCTTCGTTGCCCATCAACCACCCAACATGCCGGAGCAAGGTGGTCAGAGTCTGTTTGCCGAGCTCGGCGACCTCGAAGGCAGTGACGAAGATTCCTACGTCGGTGCCCAAACCCCAAGCCGACGGAGCATCCGGTCATTCACTCCTGGCAGCGCTACGCGGGGTCGCGCTTCGCCACGCCCTCATGTGCCTCCGCTACCGAGACTGATCATGGTTGACAGTGGTTGCATGACGGATCCTGTCGAAATCCGCTCAACGCCAGGTCTTTTCGGAATCCCGTCTCTCACGTCAACTAGCGGGAGCACGGATGAGGAAGCCCGGTCCGCGTCGCGCAGTGACGTGTACCCTGACCGTCCAATGTCGATGGAGTCTGTTGTTCGTGCAGAAGCTGGCGCTCACTGGCTTGGAGATGGGCTGAGAGACGGCGAGTTCTCGAGGCCCCTATCCTCATTTTCCTACAGCGATGCTAGCGTTCAACACGACATTGATATGGACGCCAAGTTGGCCCAGTTCCCATCCCCACCAACCTCCCCACCCAAGCTGGGGCTGATGCCATCACCAATTGCTCCTGTGCAGACACTGGGGATCTCTTCTGTTCAGTCGGAGGACATTGAGCCTGTTGCTGAGGTCGAGATTCCACGCGAATTGGGCATTTCTTCGCTCATATCTGAGCACATTGAGCCTGTTGCTGAGGTCGAGATTCCAGAAGAATTGGGTATTTCTTCACTTGTATCCGAGCAGGTGGAGCCGAGAGAGGAAGCCGTGGAGCCTGTAACACCGCCTCTGCTCGCCTTGTCCTCCGTCGTT